CGAATTGGGATCTAATTTATTTAATATTTATTGAAGATTTTAAAAAGTTCATTAAATATTTATTTAAAATTTATTAAAAATTTTAATAATTTTTTTAATATAATAAAATTAACTAAGGTGCCTTTTATTTAACTAGGGCATCACTTACACATTGTATATATATGGAGGCTTATTGAATACACGTTGTTTAGCCTCTTTTGCACGTCTAATTGCATCATAACACTAGAGAGTTTGATAGACAGACAATAACTAGGAGAAAATAAAGAGAGAAATGAAATGACACAAGAAATTACATGAAGACTGAACATAAAATTGCCAATACGTATAGGGTGAGTACAATGTGAGGCCTTCCTAATGTTCTTCACGCTCTGGTTGAGCAATCACGGAGGATATGTAGAAGCGGCTCTTGAAGTTGGAGAGCAATTACTTTGGTTAAACCCCCATTTTGGTCCCTCAACTATCGTACGGACCCCCGACTTAGTCCCTCAACTCAAAAAATCCCTGATTTGGTCCATACTATTTACCATTTTGACCCCGATTTAGTCCCTCCGTTAAAAATTCAGTGATATTTCCCGTTAATTAACTGGAGCATGATGACGTGTCCAAATAACTTGACACATCAGATGCATACCGAGGCTTCATGGGTTCCACGCCTGGGTTGCTTGGAACCCAGGGCTTGGGTCTTGATGGAACCCAGGGCCTGGGTCTTGATGGAACCAGGCACTGGTGTCACGCCCCAAAACCCGAATTCGAGGCGCGACAGATGCCGTGCACTCGTGAGAGGGTCCCACAAATGCACAAGGCTCGCAACTCATCCAATTCACATCTGACAATCCAATAACTTAAATAAGATATTTCAATAATTCTATGTCCAACATGACTTAAACTTAAAATCACAAGGTAAAACCTATCTTACAAAAACATGATTTATTTCTAAAATTATATCAATCTCGAAATGGCTAGCCTTCTAACTCGTCACTTCCCATGGTTTCCGTGTCTCGGGTCATACTACCTAAAATGGTGGATAAGGGAAAAACTATGAGATAAAATATCTCAATAAGTAAATGTATGGATAGCCCGTGGGTAAAATTTGAGCATTTCAGATAAACAGTTTAAACATAAACGGAATGTTCAATGATGAACCATTAGGCAGAATAAAGTTCAGTAGTAATCAATTAAACTTATAGCATGCCAACAAGTGCAATCAAAAAAACGGATACAAGTACGGGAACGAAATAGACATCTCCTCTATAGGTCACGGCCAGTGTTTAAACCTCCCACTGGCAGGCTACAGAAATTGCTAGTATTTAACCCCTACTAGCAGGATTACAGAAACGAACCAATTCTATCAGTAACATGTCAACATGTGCTAGTGTTTAACCCCCACTAGTAGGATTACAGAAACATGTGCTAGCGTTTAACCCCCACTAGCGGGATTACAGAAATAACATGACCATATCGGAGACAAAACAGGCAGAAATTAGTAGAAAATCATACTTTACTAATCACTTTCAGATCATCAGGACAATCAATTAAGTTTCAAGTAGGCATGCTCAATTTAATGAAAAGCATAAAACTTCACTTCAAATCAGTCATACTTACTTTTGCATAAAACGGGTTTAGTCCCGCCACCACTTCAAAAACAAGTCAAAACATCTTTTAAAAACAGTGCGGGCATTACCATAAATTTACTTACCTCACTTGGCATAAACAGGAAACTCGACCCCAGAGTTTTAAGCCACAACAGCACCTAGTGTTCCAAATAAACATGTTCAGACCTCGCTAGAACATTAACACAACATCAAAATTTATGTTAATCTCTCATGACCGAACACCTCTAACTTTATTCTCATATAGAACTAAGCATTTCATCCACTTTATTATTGCCGGCAAAGCCTCAAAATGCAATATTCATTTATTTATTTATTCTTTTCTTCTTTCCGAATTTTAGCGTTAATCCGGATTGGGTATACATATACATATAACAATTAACACACACATTTTTATATATTTTTATCTTTTCCCACTCTCGGGGGCACCATTGAGGGTTTTGGTTTTTTTTCATTTTTCCTTTTTTGCCAAGGCGTTGGTTATTCAGGGAATTTTCATAATTTTTGTTGCCACAATTTCCATCTACCATCAATCAATCAGAACAATTTCTCCAGGATAACAAAAATGGCATAAAAACAACTTCAAACAGCAAAGATGATTCCCGGGACAACTACACAAAATTCTACACGAATTAGCAACCCAAAACCCATTTTATGCTACCAAATTCTTCCATATTTCTGCAGAAATTCGGACAGCACAGCAGAGGGTTTTCGGACAACACAGGGCAGCAACAAATTGATAAAATTCAACAACACAAGGCAGTAATTAATTGATGAAATTTCAAGCTTGGAGGGTTGTTAACTTACCAGAATATTTCCAGCAATAGAAGCCGGATCTGGCGAGCTTGGCAGAGATCGGGAAAGGGGAAGGGATGTCACGGGAGCTACCAAAATTGAAGGGACAAGAGGAAATTAGGTAAACCCAACCTAATTCAAGGTTAAAGAGAGGGATTCATGCTTGAATCTTACCAGAAAAAGACCAGAAATCACGGATAGCAGAGGCCGACGGACAGCAAGGGGAAGAACAGCGCAGATCTGGGATTTTCTGGGTTTAGGAGAGTGTTCTAGGTCCTAAATCTTGTTATTGAACAAGAAAGAAGGAGAATTTCAAGCCCCTTTTTCGGTTTTCAAAGGAAGAGGAAGTCGGTGGCTTTGGGGGGG